ATTCCTTACAGAACACCGGGATTTATGTTGTTGATAATTCATTTACAAAATACTTCCTGGAAACACAAGGTCTATAGGGATATTTCAAAAGATTGAATAACATGGTGAATATCATATATGGACAGTATATATAGTAGATATTTGTTAAAATTCCTAACCAGCATAGGTACTGGATTCTTCATGTTCAGTCAGCGAGCGAGCAAACAACCTGCTGCCCTGCTGGACGGCTCTTAGGAAGCAGAGGAAAAGCAGTTCACAAGCTGTGCGAGCAAAGCCTTGGCAACATCAATCAAGCTCTGCTAAGCTTAATTTTCATTCATTCGCATCATGTCGGTACCTTTTTCGTTTTTAAATTTGAGGTGATTTAGAGAATTGGAAAAAGATTTTAATTTGTACATTAACAGGTTTAGTTCGATCAAAAGGCAATGGAAGATCCTGTTGGAAACAGACGAACTACAGGTGAACGGACAAGAGATGGTGTCTGGAGGGAGAACAGGTGCGGCAACTTCTCTTTATCTACAAGGATGATTGGGCGTATGACGTCACGGGGTGCGAGAATGGGGAGCAAGGCAAAATAAGGAACAGGGACAGAATATCGAGAGAAAACGTGCAGCGGCGGCGGCACAGACGTAGCAGCAGCAGCAACATCGTGACGTCACACGGTCAAATGAGCAAGAGGAGGTCACCTATCGCCACGGTTCCCGACATGATCCGCACAGGCGAGGAGCAGAGGGGCGAGTCCGCGGCGCCGACCCCCCCGCAGCACTCACTATCCACGCTGTTCTGTCGGCTGGAGCCCCGCGATCCCGCGCTGTTGACCGAGCCCGAGGACTGCAGGGAGGAGCCCGGGTGCTCCGGGATGATCCCCATCATGCAGTACGGGTCACTGAACCCTGCAGGACACCAGGCTCAGTGAGGCGCTCGAGGAGGGAGCGCTGCCAGCTGCGGCAGGGCGCGGGTGCTTGTGGGTCGAGGTGGCCGTTCCACACACGTAGATGTGTTATAAATCATACAGTATATTATGTGTGTGGTGGATGTTAGGTGTGTCGGCACGGGAGTGACCGAGAAGGGCGTGTGGAAAGGTGTTAGCGTGTGTTGTGGACTGGCGTGGATGCTTAGATGTCAGCCAGCGTCAGTCGTGGGTGCTTCATGTATCGGAATGTTGTAGGATGTGCTTGCGCTTGTACATATGTGGATGAGTGTGGATGCGTTCATGTGTATGGAGAGGGGAGTGTGACTGAATGTCTGTTTGATTGGTTATGTGTGGGTGTGAACGAGTGTGTATGTTATGTGTGTTTTTAGTGTGTGTGTGTGTGTGTGTAGCTGAGTACGTGTGTGCGGATCTGGATGTGCGTGTGGATGTATGCTCGTCTGTGGAGGATGTAAATGCTCGGTCTGTGGAATGTGTATGCACATCTGTCGATGTGTGCACATGTGCATTTGCGTTTATGGCCACTAGAATGTTTGGTATCATTGCGCACAAAATAAACTGGCGAAAGTTTTGGTTCCAAATAAAGTACGCAGCCGGGGTTTATAATATATATAAGGCAAGTGAAGACTAGTTTGCTGCTATAAATATACGTTGCAACCCAATTCACACCACACATGTATATGATATGATATACACACACACACACACAGACACAGACACACACACACAGACACACACAACACAGACACACACGCACACACACACACACTACACGACACATCACATCACACCCACATCACACACAAAGAAACCCACACACATAAAAAACACACAGCACAACTTATTAAGACCAAAACCATGGATTATTAATGCATTTCAAATTTACGATAATCTTTGAGTATGTAAACCTGTATAATTATATTTTTTTGGATGTTTTGATGCTTGTACGCTGCCATGCAGTGGCGAGCCTCAGGGGAGGGCTAAAATGATATACAAGTACCAAAATTCATGTTTTATATCTTTCATATTTCAATATATCTAATAACTCATTATCTTAATCTAACTATATCGGAGAGACAAAACAGATGTTTCAATCTGTACGATAGTGTAGGAATTGTTGGGGATTCGCAAAGAGAACTGCAATCTGTGTCCCGTATTCTGTTTTCGAGCTTACTGCACTGCTTGATTGGGTGAATTTCTTTTCTTTAATATATGTTTTAAAATAACTTTCCTCAGTTATCATGATCATATTGCGAGCCGCCATTGTTTACCAGAGCACAATATCAAGGCACTTTTCAAGAACTGGTGTGATTTGCCAGTGGTGCGTCTAAACTGGGCAAGATGTCGGTCTCTTGTATACGATGAAAATGTTTAATTCAATCGTTATTTTCAGAAAAAAAAGAAAAAAAATATAATAATAATAATAATAATAATAATAATAATAAATAATATAATATAATAATAATAATAATAATAATATATAATAAACGTTCCCAAAATCTTCAAAATGAAAAAGAAAAATGACGACGGGTATGTTGATTTACCCAGAAAACTGACGTGAAATAGAAT